CCATATCTGGATTACTCTGATATCGACCTAGTATCCCCACAATAAATGCAATATCAGGTCCAGTACAGACCTGAGTATACATAAGGCTCCCTACGGCAGAAGCATATGTGATGATTTTCATTGATTCACTTTCAAAGTTGTTCTTTGGGCATTGGTTCAAATTGAACCTATCACCTTTCATAATAGGAGCAACACTTGGTGAACAATCCTTCATCCGAAATCTTTATAAAAGTTTATCGATATAGGTTTCTTGTGATAGACCTAAAATGCCTCGAGGTTTATCTCTATGGATCTTAATGCCAATGACATAAGATGCTTCACCCATATCCTTTATGTTAAAATTTTTAGAAAGGAATTGTTTCACCTCATACAGCAAACCCTTATCGTTAGTTGCAAGCAAAATATCATCTACGTATAAAACAAGAAAACATATTTTACTCCTACTAACCTTTTGGTATATGCATTGATCCATGGGATTTTCAACAAATCCAAATGAAGAAATCACTTCATAGAATTTAAAATACCATTGGCGAGAGGCTTGTTTTAAACCGTATATAGACTTCTTAAGCTTGCAAACCAAGTGCTCACCAATACTAGAGGAGAAACCTTCAAGTTGTTTCATATAAACCTCTTCCTCTAGATCTCCATTAAGAAATACCATTTTCACATCCATTTGTTGCAACTCAAGGTCAAAATGAGCAATTAATGCCAAAATAATACGTAGAGAATCTTTCTTAGATATAGGAGAAAACGTCTTCGTATAATCAATTCCCTCCTTTTGAGTAAATTCCTTTACAATAAGTCTTGCCTTGTATCTCTCAATGTTGCCTAACGAATCTTTCTTAGTTTTAAAGACTCATTTGCAATCAATAGCCTTTGCTTCATTAGGCAACTTTACAAGATCCCAAACTTCATTGCTCATCATGGAATTCATCTCTTCTTTCATAGTATCATGCCACAAATTTGATTCTTTGCAACTCATGGCTTGTGAAAATGTTTCGGGGTCATTTTTGGCTCCAATATTATAGTCAGATTCTTATAGATATGCAACATAATCATTAGGAATTACTGATCTTTTATTTCTAGTAGATCTTTTAATGTTGTACTAATGTTTCCCTGTGGATCTTGTGGTTCAACTAATCGTTCAGGAGCTTGTTGTAATTCCTGAACTGCTTGATCTATTAGAATACTATCAACAACTTGTGGAATTTCAATGATTAGTTATTCAGCACTAGTTTGTACTTGAGGAGTGCTATGAACTATAACCAATCTACCATTTGATGTAGAAGGTTGAGATTCTATATGATCATGTATGGAAACTATGTTCCTGAAATGATCGCTCCCACTAATCACATCATCCTCAAGAAATTTAGCATTTCTTGATTCCACAATCCTAGTTGTGTAAGATGGACAATAGAACCTGTAACCTTTGGACTTTTCGGCATATGCAATGAAATACTCACTAATAGTCCTCGGGTCCAGTTTCTTTTCTTGTGGATTATATATCCTGACTTCAGACGGACATCCCCAAATGCGCATATGTCGCAAACTCGGTTTCCAACCTTTTCATAATTCAAATGGTGTCTTTTGGACAACCTTAGTTGGAACTCGGTTTAATATATACACAGTCGTCTTTTGTGCTTCAGTCTACAAGAATTTAGAAAGACTGGAGTTGCTAAGCATACTCTGCACCATGTCTAATAATGTTCGATTTCTTCTTTATGTAACACCATTCTGGTCTAGAGAACCAGACATAGTGTATTCGGTAACTACCCCATGTTCTTGAAAAAACTTAGCAAAAGGACCAAGTGCTTGTCTATTTTCAGTATATCTACCATAATATTCTCCACCCCTATCTGATCTCACAATTTTAATTTGCTTATCACATTGGTTCTTAACTTCAACCTTAAAGACTTTGAAGGCATCCAATACTTTATTTTTGTTATGAAGCAAATATATATACATATATCATGAGAAATCATCTATAAAGGATATGAAGTATTTCTGACCATGTATGTCCATGTCTGGACAACATATATCAGTATGAATTATCTCTAATAAGTATGAACTCCTATTAGCACCCTTTTTGGACTTATTGGTCTGCTTTCCCTTAATACAGTCCATACAAATCTTAAAATTAGTAAAATCAAAAGTACTAAGTACCTCATCTTTAACTAATCTTTTAATTCTCTCTATGTCCTAATCTCCGATGCCATAATACAAAGGAGTCCTCATTAATATTACACCTTTTAATGCCAGCGTGAACATGCATTGAACTTTGAGTATTATCATTTTGTAATAAAATATGGTAAAGACTATCAGACAAAATATCATTCCCAACACAATCAGAATTATATAGTAAACGAAATGATGTATCTTTAAAATTAAGGGAATACCCAAATGGTATGAGTCTGGAAACAAAAATTAAGTTTCGTGAGAAACTTGGAACATAAAAGGTCCTTTCCAATTTTAAAACAAAACCACTACTTAAAGTTAAAATGCATGTTCCAATTGCCTCCACATGTGAGCCTATCTTATTTCCTGATAAGATGCTTTGCTCACTTCCCACTGGCTTCCTTAGGTTTTGCATACCCTGCAAAGAGTTTGCAATATGGATTGTTGATCCAGAGTCAATTCACCACGTGTTAATATTAATATTGACCATATTAGATTCATAACACACAAACAAGGTTTATTTACCTTTCTTTTCAAGCCATTGTTAGAATTTTGTACATTCCTTCTTCATGTGTCACTTTCTTTTACAAAAGAAATACTTTGCTTTTTTCTTGATATCAGTTTATGGTGGCATTTTATTTTTTCCCTGCTGATGAGCTTTCTGATTAGCTTGATGTTTGTCAGTTTTGTTCTTCCCATGAGTGGTTACTACCAATGCACTCTCACCCAATTCCATCACTAGCCTCTCTTCTTCTTGAACACACATGGTCATTAATTCATTGATTGACTATTTATCCTTATGTGTATTGTATGAAATTTTAAAAGGGCCATATTGAGGTGGAAGGGTGTTCATAATATAGTGCACCAGGAAGGATTCTAACATATTAACCTCGAGTTTCTTAAGTTGAGCCGTAATATCTCGCATTTGCATTATATGCTCACGCACACCCTTTATGTTGGTGAGTTTAAGGGATAAGAATTTCATTATTAGAGTACTTGCTAGTGCCTTATCTGAAGTGACGAATTGTTCATCGATAGCTTTTAGCAAGTCTCAGACATTTTTATGCTAGTCAACAGAACCACGTATGCCGGCAGTCATCTTAGTTTTGATAAACATCACGCTGAGCCGATTGGATCGCTCCCTCGTATAACGTGATCTCAGTTGGAGTGCTAGTAGTAGTGACTATTGGTGGTTCGTCTTTTCTAATAGCATAATCAATATCCATCCACCCTAAATGGAGGAGAACCCTCTCTTTCCATATCTTATAGTTATCACCATTAAGTTCGGGAATATCACATCGAATATCAGATAAATTAACAGTTTGAGAAACTGCATAAAATTAAACATGCTTATATCAAAATTTGAAGCTTAATAGTCTAAATTACATATTTTACCAATGTGAAACATGTCAAAAAAATAAATCTCATGATATAAAAATTGCTTGTGGGCTAAATTCTTAATTCAAATAGATTCAAATGGTCTTTATGATAAAACTATCAAATTATATTCTAATTCATAATCTCTGTGGGTAAATTATGAAAATAATCTGATATTTAATCCTGATTAATTATATTAAATATAATAAAAGATCATGTGAGATAATAATTATTATATAAAATATAATCAGTCACAATATGATGTCTAATTCCTTATGTGATCCTTATTTTAACTTTATATATAATTTTAATTAATTTAGGATGTTGTGACTAATTCTTAATTAATTAAGATTATATGGATCTATAAATATTTTAAACATAAAAAATTAACTCATAAGCATAATTTTATATAACTAAATATGTATACGTAATATAAGCATTTTACCAATTAAAATATTAAAAATGATATTTCCTCATGATTTTCAATAAAATATATCAAGAAGTTTCCAAGAAGAAATCAAAATCAAATCATTTTCATGATATAAAAATGAAAACTATTTCGTATTAAGACAGATGTTAAAGGGCTCTGATACCAAATATAAGAAATCATTGAAGCCAACTTATGTTTCTAAATCATTATAATGGAAATACGATAAAACTGACGTGGAAACAAAATAGGGTATCTCCAGCCATTGTTGTTAAGAATTTCTGTAGAGATTTCTTCTTGAACTTTGGCACTTCTCGACTCAGAACTCTCGCTTTAGATGGTGTAGGAAAGCCTTTTTGCTTCAAAGAAATGATTGAGCTCAAGGACCAAAATCTTTATATATATAGATTTTCTCTTATTAAGAATATTTATCATCACCAACTCATAACGTTCAAGAATTAATTCAAATTTGTAATGTTTGGATAAGAACTTTAATGATATTAAATATTTAATTTAATAATAACGATTTCATATATAATGAATAAAAAATTAAAATCATTTAAATCATAATAAATAAAAAAAAATTCATGATAATAAATTATGAATCTTAATGAGAATGGTTATATTATTATTAAATAAGATATTTAATAATAATAGTTATTGTTACGGATTGAACATTTACCTGGTTTTGTTTGAACATTTCACCATCTTCCTGCTATTTCTTGCATGTCAATTCTTTTGACTGTCAAGTGTAGAATGATATAGAGAAGTGTTGTCACCAGTGAACGACTCAGCTAAGTCTCTTTGTTTTCCACCCTTGGCAGCTAACATGATCAACAAACACAACGAGTGTTTCTTGTGGGTATCAGACAAGTGCAGATACAAATTATTAAATGATATGTCAAGCATAAAAGCATTTTGATCCTATGTGGTACAGGCTCTTCAGCCTTCACACATTTCAACTCTCAGTACGGCATCAAGATGTGTGCATCGAGGCTTATCAAGAACTGCATGCTTAAAATCAATGACGGTGATCACCGGTCGCAGCCGCCCATGCTTGTAGGACATGGTTCACAATTTCCTCTACACCAACTGCATGCTTCACCTGCAAATAGGTAGCGTGCATAAGCTTTGAATACTACAAAAAACAAGAACTGGATAAGGAAAACCTTTGTATCATCCACTAGAAATTTAAATCCATTTTGCATCAAGAAGATATGCTCATGTAAGCATCCGTATTTACAAGTGTTTCTTATCATCATGAAGCCAGGAAAAAGAATATTTTAGAGTGTGGCAGTGTTGATAGTGCAGAAACATTGTCGCATTGGGCCCATCACCTAAGTCTCTATAATTTAAAGAAAAAAGAACTTTCCATCTGAAATAAGAAATAAGATGGCAATCAACAGTATCGATGTATGATTTGATTAAGCATGGGAGCAATGCCATAAGAAATAAGATGGAAATTGACAGTGTCAATGTATGATGTAGGGTGCTTACACACAGCAAATGAAGGATTAAGCATGAGATCAATGTTGACAACAAATGTCTTTAACCTTCTAAATACCAATTCAGTAATTCAATCAAACAGACAACGGAGTAAAAAATTATAAAACCCAATAACTCGATTATAGATAAAGCCTTGACATGGAGTATTTCAGCAATATAGTGAAACTAACATTGCTTGACTTCAAATAAAGCATTGATTTTCCTACAATGATTCATTTGTCAAAATAAGAGAATAACATATTCCAGTAGAAAAAAGGTTCTCTGTGCAAAAACAAAAGGCCCTCCATCCCGCATTCGTAGTGCATCTCTTTCCATGATCGCCAAGTCAGCTCCGACTGCTTGTGCTATGTCTGTCTTGTTTATTACCTAAGATATAAGACGTAGATAATCAGATGATATTTACACTTCAACTGCAAAGATTAGGTGGTAGAGCAAAGTGCATAGAGAATTGTCGTGTGAAAAACAATGTAGGCACAGACAATCTTACATACCAAAAGATCTGCTTGGGTGATTCCAGGTCCACCTTTTCTAGGTATTTTATCACCACCAGAAACGTCGATGATGTAAATTATATAGTCTGCTAATTCTCTGCTAAAGTTAGCAGCTAAATTATCTTCATCAGTGGGTAAGTTCACATTAAAAAGCTACTCTCCTCAAAACACCTTATCATATATAATGGCACAAGGTGCAACCTGAGACACCACATGTAACAACTACTAAGTATATGCTTACCAAATGAAACCATTGCCCCGAGTTTGTGCTTCCAATAGAACAATTTATGGACATCTACCACTCAAAGTTTCATATTCCCTTTCCCACTAATTGGCTCTCAACACCTTTAACCATTACATGCAACACAAGTACAAACTTCTTTAGGTACTAAATCAACAACAATGCTTCCCTTGTCTGCACATAATATTTAGACAATGTATGGTATTTCCAAAGATCAATGCTTCCTTTATCTGCACATAATATAAGTCAAAGTTTGGTATTTCCAAAGATCATGACCAAGCAATACAATAAACATCATGTGTCAAGTATCAAAACATTATGGGCAAAAAACAATACAGGAAAGTTATCTATAACGAATATGTACCTATATATGCTTGTGCAACCATTATATCTAGTTTATATATTCCGTACCTAATGTAAGCTTGTGCAACAATTTTGTCTACTTTATATATTCTGAACTATATAATCAAAATAAAAAGGGCTCAGTCTCAAAGTTTAATCTACTTTTTTCCAGCAAATATTTCAAGCTATAGAACTACTTGTAAGACTGAGAAATCAAGTTTAGACTTCAAATATGTAAAAGAAATTGTGGAACATGCAAGGTGATAAGAAGATCTGAGGTAGGTGTGTATATTCTTGACCCAAATAGAAATCCGACCAAAGAACCAACATAAGATGATTATCTTTGCATTGAGCCTATAGCCTAGATGGATTTGGGTCATAAATAGGTTGACTCAACTAAACTGATTAGCAGATTGATTGAGATGGAATTTTAGGGACTCACATGATTAACCTGAACTAACCTGATTAATACTCAATTTAAACATGTAATTTTTTATCTGCATGTATGGGTGCATTTGGAAACACATTTGAAATGTGCATTGAAGCCCTCAATGCACATTTCAAACATGAATTGGTGTTTGATAATTTTTTTACAAATCGTATTTTGTCATTGCAAATGCTCAAATGTTGATGCTAACTTGGGGTAGCATTAGCATTTCAACAATCGTGGGATGCTATTGAAATTTTTAAAATTTTTCAAAGTACCCTATGACATTATCTAAAATCACAAGATTATCACTATATAATAGAACCCTAGTCCTCATTTCTTCTCCCTATCTCTTAAATTCTATTGTTGCTGACTCCTCTTGCAAGTCCACCGAACCGCTTGCTCCATTGGGTGCATACTTCATTGCGTTACTAATCTCAAGAATGATACCAACCCTATTCTTTATTTTCTAACTCGTTTTCTCCGAGATGTATTCACTTTTGAATAAATATTAAAAGTGTTAGAAGGGTAAATTTATGATATAATATTCAATAAATTTTTGAAATATAATTTTACCAAACAACACTTACCACATTTAAAATGTAGTTTTCATCTATTGTTTATTAAGCACTCAAAGCATTCCAAAACTATATATTCACTCGAGCCTTTTTCTCCAAATGCACATTAAAAATGCGAATGTGTTCCCAAACACACTGTAAATAGTATCATGTTTGAGTCATATATGTAGGTTAAATTGTGTCATTAGATTGATTAGATCATGTGCCATGTGCACGAGCCATATATGTATGACTCTTAAATCTTGTTGCAAAATGGGTTAATCATCTAAGAATCAAAATGATTCATCCTTACCAATTTATTAGACTAGTAACGTGGACCACGTTGGGTGATGTGACCATGAAATGGGTTGACGTTTTGGTTTTGAACATTTAAGCATGTTCAAATGGGTCAAAAGTTTCGTTCTAATATATAAATCTAACCTGACATGAAAACCCCCTGACACGACATATTGACATCTTAGTTAAAATACCAGAATTTGCAAGGCCTCAACTTTTTCTTTGAACTGATGCCATAATATTTTTCATGTATATGATGCATAAAACACAAACATAATAGACAGCACTAATCTACACTAAGTTTGTAGCTTAGGATTGAGTTAAGAGAAGTACGTCCTCCAGATTCACAAAGAGGTATGTCTATCTTGTACAAATTAGATAACTCTTCTAGAGGCCTAAATTAATTCTTATATCTTCACAAAGAGGTATGTCCAGTTTCGACAGCACGAATCCTTTCCTCAGGAAGTGCTCCATGCTTCACTAAGAATTCTCCATCCTCTTTTGTAAATATATCATTTGTTACCTAAATCATCATAAAAAAACATTAAAAAGTGAAATCAGACAAATTTAATGAAGTCTTGTGATCTTCTATATAAACATGCAAAGAGTTTGATCGAATGAGGTAGGATGTAAAGAAAATATTACATGCCTGATGTGCAGTCTGAGCAAGATATTTTAGAATCTGTATATCTCATGCAAAACTGAATAAGCATAGTAGCAGCCATAGGGAAATTGTCCCCATGCTTGCTTGTAAGTGTTTTTTTCCTCTGCTTGTAAGGTTAAGACTATGTAATATGTAACAAATAGGAAGTAAAGAAAATACTACATGCCAGATGTGGAGTCTGAGCAAAGAATTCTTTTCATGCAAAGCTGAATTAGCAAAGTAGTGATCATAAGGAAATTATCTCTCTGTTTGTAAGGGTAAGGCTGCATGCATTACCCTCCCCAAACTCTATCAAGGGTGGGAATCTTGTACTCTAGGCCGCAAAGAATTCTTTTCATGCAAAACTGAATTAGCCGAGTAGTGATCATAGGGAAATTATCTCTCTGTTTGCAAGGGTAAGGCTGCATGTATTATCCTCCCCGAACTCTTATCAATGGCGGGAATCTTGTACTCTAGGCCACACATTTAGTAGCAACTGTAATCGTTATTATTAAATATCGTATTTAATAATAATGTAATCGTTCTCGTTAAGATTCATAATTCATTATAATCAATTTTTTTTATTTATTATATTTTAAATATTTTTATTTTTTATTCTAAATGTAACTATTATTATTAAATATTTAATATCATTAAGTTTTTCATTATGATCCAAATGTTACAAATTTGAATTAATTTTTGAACGTTATGAGTTGGTGATAATAAATGTTCTTGATGGTAGAACATCTATATAAACGAGGGTTTTGATCCTTGGGCTCAACATTTTTTTGAAGTCAAAAAGGATTTCTTACACTATCTAAAGCAAGAGTTCTGAGCTGAGAAGTACCAAAGTTCAAAAAGAAACCTCTACAGAAATTCTTGACAACAATGACCGAAGATATGCTATTTTGTTTTCGCGTCAGTTTTATTGTGTTTCCATTATAATGATTTAGAAACACAAGTTGACTTCAATGATTTCTTACAACAAACTGTTAGATTAGCGAAATCTGTATGAGATGGTCGACGACGACCATCTATTTGAGGTTTATGTATCTATTTCCATTATTGAATTCTACATAGTAATGAGTGCTGGCACAAGTGCTTATTACATGATGTTAATATATTTAACATTACAGTGATGGAATTAAGATGGTTTGTAATCTCCAAACAAGAATTATAGATGCAGTAGTCAGGCCAAAATGAATCATCTCCAACTAACATTAACAGAAGATGCAGAAGAAGATCTAAAAGGTTTTTTTTTTTAATATGAAACAGAAGAAAAGAGAGAGATGATGTCCTTCGCTTCATCGAAGGATTTAATAGAAGGATCTCTGCAGTCAATCTAATAATCAAGGACGAAGTGTCGATTCATGTCGTTCGCAATGCATGACAATATGGTTGCTTCTTGAGATCAAAACACGACCATTTCAGATTGTGTAACATCAAAATCACACATGTCTGAATCTAAACAATGGACTCTACGAAGATTGCAGCTTCAATCTGGCCCTACAAAAGACCTTAAACAGACAATTACGTCAAAGTCATAACATATAACTGACCACATCAGAACAGATATCTTGGCTGACATGAACATCAAGTAATTGTCAATCAAGAACACCAAATTGTTGTCGATGATATCAAATATGGAGAATAAAACAATCACATGCGATGCCAGCATTGTAATTACAACTAGAAATGATCAGCATTTCTTTTCTCTATTTTTCTGCCCCATCCTCGGTTCCTGCTCCGGTCACTGTACATTCCACGAACACCCTGTGGGCAGTCCCTCGAGCGCTTCAGGAGGTCCTTCTGCCAGGGATCGAGCTCCGCACATGGGTCGCGGAGGTGGTCTGCCTTGGACCGGAGGCAGGCAGCCATGGCAGCAACCTCGAGAAGACAGAAAGCAAAAGAGCGAATCAGATGTGGCAGCCGCAGCAGAGGAAGAAGCAGCAGAAGCCGGCGACGAGGACGACGGCCTCAAGGAAGTAGAGGACGTGGAAGGCGAGGTCGTCGAGGAGGGAGAACCGGAGCTTGGGGCCCTTCCACCGCCAGGAAGCGGAGAAGCTTGGCTTCCACGGCCAATGGTGCGTCTTGTTGAGCTTCCTGAACCAGCCGCGCTTCCCGACCATCGTCCGCCACAGCCGCCGAAAGGCCAAACCTTGGAGACTTCCACGGTCAGAAAAGCTTCGCCTGCGATGCGTGGATGGCATTTAAAGAAGGTGACGGCCAAACCTTGGAGACTTCCACGCATCGCAGGCGACGTGAGCACGTCGAAGCGCGATGGCATTTAAAGAAGGTGACGGCGAAGTGGTGTAGTAGAAGACTTGGGAAGGTTCGTCAACACGCGCTTTGGTGTGGGTGAAAAGGGCGTCTTAAGTCGGAAGCTTAGGTGTCAAGCAAGTGGAATTGTAACGGGAGTTACGGAGCAACAGTTGGATTTCTGATGTTGACTGAGGAAACTGCTCCTACAGAGGCAGTCTTATAGAGAAAGAAACACAGGAACGAATACCATTTTTAGAACCCGACTGTCAAATTGATTGATTCCATATTGTAAAAGGCTATTGCCGTCGATGATGATTCAGTTTTCATAACATCATGTCTGTCACAAAGGGAAACAGATAAAAACATCACCAATTGACTGATTCTATGATGATTTATTCGACCCTACTTTTGGTTTTAGGTTCTGCCTTCATTCTCGCTGGTATAACCAGCAATCAGGTTTTGACAGGCGGTAATAAATGTTTTATCCGAGATTGATCCATTCAAATGCTGGTCAACTTGCAGCATTGATGATGTGATGGTAGCTAACAAGTGGTTGATTTAAGCTTGTGTTGTTGTTCCTACATCAACCATGCCACGAACAAAACAAAGCATTGCTGATTTGTCGCTGGTTCTCATCACTACTTGCATATATTGTTCGTATGGAATCAGAAGCCTACTTTGACAAACTCGGTGAATTTGGCTGTCATAAATCATACATCTAATTGCTCATCAAGGATTATACATAGCCTTCTCTGGAATCCAAAGACAGATAACATGTCCGTCAACTCAGGAATCTACTTTCCGGTCGTCTCTCGGTTTCTACTTCAATGTTGGAGGAACATATGCTGAATGTCTTGTTCGCATCTCCTTTCTCCCTTCATAGACGCATCTTTTAGTTTGCAGAGAGAGAGAGAGAGAGAGAGAGAGGAAAGAGGAATCATATCTTTATTCAGTGGATTATAGTGGCTACAGAGAGAGGCAGGAAGCAACAACTGGTGAGGCTTCCAGAAGAAAACATGACGTGGAGAGGTAGGAAGAATATGAACAACTTGCATGCGGTTGGATGGATACTCAAACTGGAATTCCTTTTGCTGCTGCCACCCAAAGTTTGCTGTCATCCAACTCAGTTTCCTTGTAGCACAAGGCAACGCCAATGAACTGTTGTTGCATGACCGCGAAGCTGAAACCATGTCATCCAAAGATGAGTCCTCCTTGAGAGATGCATGCATGCAACCAGTTGCACAAGGTTAGAAGAACAAGTCAGAAAGATCAATCATTTGGCCATGTCCCATGGCCATGGCAATGCAAGTTGTTCTTGTCGGAGCAAAAAAAAAAAAAAGAAGATATATTTATTAAGAAAGTTAATAAATATTAATTTAAAGGTTAATATTTAAGTGAAAAATATAACTGAAAAAAAAGAAGTGGATTTTTTTATTCATATCTGAATGAATAAATTGGGTATATTTTCAACTCTATTTATATAGTCTAAAATGCACTCCAAGGTTATTTTCTGACATATCTTTTCAAAAGGATGGTCATTATAATTATCCAATTTAATTAAATGAATTTGAGTTTTAAATTAATTCCAACTGTTCTCTTGAAATGCTTGGAAACTGGTCAGTCCTGCAGGCCACAACATGATGAATCCATCATCAGCCTTTGATGACAAGCATGCATGATTGCCTTCCTATACAGATTGGCAGCAGCTATCAGAAAAGCTTGTTGATGTTGGAAAGCAATAACAGCTGGGGCTCACCTGATGCAAGGTTGAGTTGGCAGCACATACTTCCCGAGTTTCGATTCTGGTAGCGATAGGGATTCCAGTGCAATCAATGTATTGGCAGCCCATACTTCCAAGTTTCGATTCATTGCACTGGAATCCCTGCCACCAATATGATGTTAGTTACTTAGGGAGACGTGTTATTAGGGAGATCATACATCCATGAAAACCTATATATATGTAGGAGAGGATGAATGAGGTCAACTGTCCTCCTTTTTAATGATGATCCATACAGTAGGGGCTATGAAGATGATCATTAAATCGTTGTCCAAATCTCATCCTCGCGTGCATCACACAATCAAGAAAGAGGTACCTCTTCTTACTGTTTACATGCCCCAAATAGGGGTTACAGGTTGAGAAGGAGAAGGAGAGAGGAGAATAGGAGATACAACCAAAAAGTCTAGCTCATAGCCCTTTAGTTTCCTCCTATTTATAAAAGTCCCTTATCAACTTACCCTAATGGGTCCTACCATATTGGGTACTGGATCTCCATCCAACTATCCAAGCCTCTTAGATTAGTGGGTCTCTACCCAATAATATTTTATTGGCTCTTATTGGATCTCATTCATATGATCCAATAATTTATGGGCTTATTGGATATCCAATAAGATAGGGGCTCCAACAGTAATCTCATGTTTGAACATTTACTTATCGCAACACCTACCATATATGTGTAACTCTTTAGGCCTAATATCGAGCTAACCGTAAGTCATAACTATTAGAACTCCTTCTGGCTTAATGAATTATTATCTTCATAATAATTCACTCGATTTATCAACTACGAACGACTAGCCCACTACGCCGTAGTCCCAGATGATACAAGGGAATCCAATTCATTGGACCTATCTGTCCTTAATTATCATGTATTTATAGTCCCTCATCCATCTAATACCTCAAAGATTATATATCAGATATGGTGTTGTTAGGCCCATATAGTTTCTACTCGAGTCTCACTTTAATCGGATTCTCTCGGAGAACTCTTTCTCTCTCAATCTGAATGACTCTGGTCATGGATTTATCTGAGCAAGAATATATGAGATATTTTTTTCATGACACCAAGAGTGAATGATCCTTTATCAATACTCAATAGCCCTCATAAAATTGGTTGCCACTCTCGATGACCGGTTGTGCTAGATTTGAAACTTCCAAGCAAGTCCGGTATCAAAGAGTAGAGTACTCATACAACACATCCTTGATATATCAAGAGTAAGAACTAGATACACCACTAGGATAACGTAATCACTATTTGATAATAAGACATCATCAACCATCCAGCATTCCGTGAGTGGATCAATCAGTGAACTCATTCTCCAATGAGCACCTACAATGTATTCCTAGTGTCTCCACACAAGTAGTTATGAGATCAGTTATCTCCATCATATGAATGAGTATATAGTACACAAGTTTGTTCGATTATCTCAATTTCCCTCTTGAGTAACTTATGATCGGGATTATTTATGGTCTATGTTTAAAGGTGAATCGGTCTCATTATCGTGATCTCATCATGATCTGATTCCCATTACATAGATCCATGAACATCACAATATATTCATGCAATAGACAACATAAAGTGATAAAATGTCAAATAATATAATAAGCAAAAAGAATGCGTATCATGTCACACGTGCTATCACTTATATGATTGGTTTGTAAGGCACCTATGTCCAGCAATCTCCCACTTGACCTAAAGTCAATCACCTATGTGTATGATCCCCATCAGACCTCTATGACACTCAAAGATAATTTGAGACAATGACTTTGTTGGTGGATCTGCGATGTTATCTTCGGATGAAACTCTTTCCATTGCTACATCTTCTCGGGCAACGATCTTTTTGATCAGGTGGAACCTTCTCAGAACGTGCTTAAACTTCTGATGAGACTTGAGTTCCTTCGCTTGAGCAATCACCTCATTATTGTCGCAATATAAGGGAATCAGCTCCTTGCTACCTAGCACGACTCTTAAATCTGTGATTAACTTTTTCATCTAGACTTCCTCCTTTACTGCCTCTATTGCAGCAATTTACTCTACCTCTATGATCAAGTCAGCAGTAGTATCCTGCTTGGATCTCTTCCAACATACTGCTCTTCCATTCATAGTGTACACATACCCCGAATTTGACTTGTTGTCATCGACATTGGACAAAAAACTCGAGTCAATGTAACCCTCAATCTTAAGGCTACTACCTTCATATACTAGTAAAAGATCCTTAGTCCTTCTTAAGTACTTATGGATATACTTTATATTAGGATCGGAGCGGCACTAAGAGGGGGGGGGGTGAATTAGTGCAGCGGTAAAGTACGATAAACTTTTGACGATTTAAACACTTTCAGAAACTTCGTACGATAAAAGCAACGTTTCGTTTGAAACCTTTTCGATTGTATTTTAACTTGAAGGGATATGTAAGAAGGAGACAAAGAAGTAGAGCATCAAAGTGCAAATGGTTTGCAGTAATATAAATGACAATAAGTAAATGCAAACTAGAGATCACGTCGATTTTAAAGTGGTTCGGTCAAATGACCTACATCCACTTGCGAGGCCCCTCTGCGATGAGGCTCCCACCTTCCACTAGCAAATCTCTTGAAGGGGAAGGGTAAATACCCCTCTTACAACTTTTTACAAGCGGTTCACTCTCTTACAGATTTTCAGCATGAAAGAAGGAGGTGAACACTAGCAAATTGAAAACAAGACTTGCTAAGACTTTTCTAAGACCTTTCTCTCAATCAATTGCTTCTCAAAAAGTTATAATCTCAGTTGAGATTTGAGGGGTATTTATAGGCCTCAAGAGGATTCAAATTTGGGCTTCAAAATTTGAATTCTCTTTGGTTTCCGATGCTG